CCAGCAGCAGAAATGAATAAAGCTGACAGATTCCGCAGCGGCCAGTTGGGGGCCACAACAACGATATATTCCCTCGCCGCTTGCCCGTTCGAATAAGCAGTGGATGTAAAGTATGTAGTACGTAAGTTAGCGTCGAGCGGCAATTCGCATATAGTCCATCGCAGTTTCGAAAGGTGTGGCAGCACCCCACAAAGGGGTTCGTCTATTACTTTGGCAGAACCAACTGCTAGTAACTGTAATCGCCACATTTCTGGAAGTGGGCTCTGCGCTTCGTCGTTGGATGAACGCGGCAGTCTCACACGGCGTGCGGTTAGGCTCCTATGAGTACGGGCCTACTGGCTCTGTTCAAAGGCATCACTTCTGCCCTGCTGAGTCCCTGGCCATCAGCCGCTGGGTCATCCGAGTGCTAACGTTGTAACTGAGATACTGGCTGTTTTTCTATATTATTTAAGCGACTGGCAAGAGAAAATTATCGCTGATAATGTTATACCGTAATAATCCTCCTGTATCGTAAACTTCATTCGAAAAATTCGGAGCGAAAAATATGAAGACCACTTAGATACGTAGTTACGTTGCATTACTTCCCTATAGCTTATATCGGTATATCATTGCAGGTGGTCAAACGATGGGCCTGCTCTAGCGACAAGTCTTAGCGTGGCCAACGAGATACCTTCCCTGGCATCTGCCACGATCCGCATTCTCGTGATTAAATTACCTGAGCTTTCTTACAACAATTTAATTAAGGCTACTGATTTAATGATGTCGTTCTCAGGGTTAATAATTAGATAGAATCTTGTTTAGATTGACTAACGGCCTTACTATAGGCTGCGAGAAAAAATACGGAACTAGCAAGCATTTAAATTATCAATATAAAAGTATAACACGAAATACATCAAGAGGAAGAATCATTCCCATAGCCATTATCATCAGCTGGAATCAAACGGTTTAATTGTTAGCTCGAACAGTTTTCCTGATGGTCTCTTACATTTTTTTTTTTGTTTTTTACAGAAAATTATAATATCGTCGCTATCGTGTGAATTAAGTATGAAATCAGAGCCAGGCGTTAGGATGCGCTGGGTCATTTCGTCAGAAAAATCCGATTGCAACTTGGCATACGATAGCTGAACTTCAGCGGTTGTTTTCACCAGCTGATGAGAGAAAAATGAATGATTTCACCAGACGATTGCAAAAAAAAACCCGCCGTCACAGGCTCAAGCTGCAATAACTGACAATGGCAACAACTAAGTAAACCATTAACATCGATTGTGGGTCACGTTTTCAAGGAAATAAATAGCTTAGGAATATCGTTTAACCGCTTTCTTAAGTACGCATTATATTCTATTATTTGTTGTAGGACGGATAGACACATCGAAGGATAGGTACGAAGATGCGACGTAAAGATATCATCACGATAGGATTATCTCTAAACAAGATAGGCTGAATGACAACCTATCAATATTTATTGTGGCCGTGGTTTTAGCCTGTACAAGAGAAACTGGTTGACGCTTGAAAAACCTAACCTAATAAATTGCATTTTGAAATATAACTTGACACACGAGAAGCGTAGTGTTCTCAGAATACTAAAGAGGTCAGTAAATGTTTCGTTATATGGATTTTTGATTATTCCATAGATCTACAAGGCAAAATAGTAGAAAGCAGTGCTTCGTAACTGCAATAAGAGACGCAATGCTCTCCATTATTTATCAACTAGCTATGAACCTCCGTCCGTTGATGATACACTGTTTTCATCAGCCCGCCATGGAGGTAACAATGTACGAACTTTGCTAGCAGGTCAGAATAATCGAATCTGTCTATCTACAATAGTTGTAAATAATAAAATTTTTTTGTACCTTTTATTGGTGCCTATTTGTTGTTTCTATTCCACTGCTGTATGTATTCATATCGAAACGTTGAATAAAACTATGTTGAACACCTAACGTCTCGGTTATATTTATAAAGCTGGGATAGTTTTAACATCATCCTAAATGACATTTAAAAAATTATTGATTGCGTTCCATGGCGCTATAGCAGTCCTGGAGGTGATTTGTCAAATAGGGGGCGACAAATATGAAAAAAACGCAAACCAATCGACAAACCTGTGCAAAACCTATTTTCGGCATTATCATATATGTCGTTAGTGTTGTGCGCGTTTTTTTTTTTTTACAAAAACAAAATATCCGTTATTTGCATGTTGTCAACCGTTTCGACAGAGCAGTTTCAATATGAACCTGCATAAATCTACATTCACTGCACGGCCGCTGTGATGACGTAAATAAAACAAGGAATCATCAGGCCGTTTTTGGTCGAGATGATCCGTTGCAGTATGTACATTTTGTTAAGGCGAAACTTCTAAAACGATTTATATACTATTCAGTGTTTTTAATGCTAAAAAAAGTACGAACTAGACTAGTAGACTGAATAATTTGTGTAAGAAGGATACTAAAATCCAACGTCGGTGTTACAACAATATTAGCGTCTCTTATAGGTTAGATTATGAAACTAGCATCTCCATTTGCATTTCTGCTCATGTCTATCTTCTGAGCAAAAAAGAGCCTGTGTGAAAATAGTTATGACTATCTTCATTAGCTCGGAGCATTGAAAATCTTCACATGCACAATTGAAATCTTATGTAGCCGTGTTTACGCTAAGTCATTAAAGAAATCCTGACTTTGTTGCTGTTTTTTCCCTGTACGATATATATATATATATATATATATATATATATATATATATATATATCGAATGTGTGCTTTATGCGAAAAATGTTCTGTCTAGGAGAAAAATAAAAAATAAGATTAGTCCGAATAAAGAGGTCTGCGGATGGACCATCCATAGTCATGTTAACTAAAAATGTTTATATTATAAAGGTTAGCACAAAAGATTATGTTTTCAAGATAGCTAAGCGTACAAAACTTGGAACGTCTGTTAATTTCTTCGATAAAAAATGTGTCCTATCATCGTTAGCTGGCTTACTTGGCCAAATGCACTAGAAAAATAAAAAAAACTGTCATCTGTTTATCGTTATCAAATAGTCCAGAGAATGATAGGAAGCTGAACATGTGATCGGCAATCAATTTCTCAAGGTAGGTTGTTCAGTGTGAAACTTAATATAGTAGACTCTAGATTTTTCGAATTTCCTGCAGAGACTTAGTTCTTCCATTTTCAATTTATTATTTTTTATGACATTCTACCGTTTGAATAATAACTTACTTATTCCACTGTTGTAGAAGCCTGGGGTATAAAAAAAGTCTATGAATGCTCAAAAAGCAATTTCGACATCCTGTTGAAACTCGAACAATTTTCCTATTAGCAAGTTGCCCAGATTTAAAAAAAAAGTATAGTCTGTGGTAGCAATGTTTGGCGTGTATGGATGATGGCAAAGAACTTCCAGTTCTAACTTCAACACTTTTGCCGATGATGATTTTTACTTTGTAGGGTCGAGTGTCATCTAAGCACGACAATAAGAACGGCACACCCCTGGTCACAAATCCTGGTTAAGGCCGAAATTGTTCGGCGTCTCTTCCAATCGTTCGTAGTGCACCTCAGCCATTATGGAAAAATTGGGACTGTAGTGGATAACAATCGCATTGGACCACGGAATTAACACCAAGAGTTTTAGAATTATGTATCTTGCTTTAGAGTAATGTCTTACCGTTTCGATCGCTGTTGATGTGAGCGTCTCCGATTATCGTAGAGGATCTAGTTAGCATCATAAGGCAGAATTTTATTCAGAAATGAATCAGTATTGCAACATCAGGGCAGCGTCTCTACGGTTCAATTTTCGATCCTCGCTCGAAATCGTGCGGAACCCGTTTGTCCAATTTGTTCACCCTATTTATTTGACCCAAGTGGAAAAGTACAACACATGCAACAAACGTGAGCGACAATACATGTGCACTCTGAGATAGAATAGCTTACCTTTTAGCCTTCGTTAGCTACTATCTCGCCTTCAAGTAAATTTTTCCCCTAATTTTTTGAGCCAGTGGTTTACGGTATTTCTAGTAGTAGAACACAAGACTTCTACGGCTTCGTTTAGGATCCAAGATGAAGGTCACACTAGGACGCCATTCGAATTTTTTAATATTTCATGGCTCGTTACAGTTATCAATCCAAGTTACGAGGTCCGAATGAGCGGTCTCGTATTTCGAAGAGCGCAAATACGAAACACGAAAAAAAGCATCCCTGAATGTCGCACTGGTATAAAATAAATGTCCGTTTGAAATATGCACTTGGCGGTTTCATACGGAAATAACTTTATATACTCAAGTGCGTCAAATAAACCCGTATCCGAATCGCTTCTTGGATTGCTAATAGTTAAATATTAAGCTGCTCGAGCAGTGAATATTCGTCTTATCACACAAAATGTGTCACAAAATGCACAATAACCCAACAAACCTAATAGGAACATATATTGTACATGTACACATATTAAGATCTTTCACTCTCTTTACAACGAAACTCTCTGACCCATTGCACAGTCATGCTTTATTCAATTATTTCATCGTTTTCAATAGTTGGGATTAGATCTCTGCGAATCCCCTGGAAACTCATTCACTGCACGGCGACTTGGGTGACGAAATCCCGGATTTTTGCACGGCGAGGCAAATCTCTCCCGCTGAACGACCACCTCGTAAAAAAGGACCCTATTAGCTCTAGCCTGAGCCAGTCTCGCCCGCTTGGCTCATCTATTATAGTTAGTCTGTTATACTATGTGTCACTGGCTGCCTGTATGTGTGCCTACGGGTGCATTGAGCATCCTTAGGGATGACAGTGTCGTCTCCCATTTCGTCGGCTTAGAGCGGCAGCGTCGAGCCTGTTGTTACTATTATCCCGGTCACTTAACAGCGATGCCCTTCCCAGGAGGCGTCACCCTCGCCGAGGGGGCGTCAAATGATGACCCTCTCTTCCTTTGCCCCTGCCGGGCATCCGCGCGTGGCCGTCAGGTCCGTTCGCAACTTCTAACGCAACCGCCAAAAGCGACAGCTTCTCTACTTCAACACTCTACCAACGCACGCCGTACGGTAAGGCCGCGGTCAAGTTCGTCGATGACCAGTACGTTGGCCGTCTGGCACCAGTTTAGGAATGTGGATGAAAAATGATTGCTACTCCATACGTCTAATCCGCAAGAATTGTTAAGCTTTTTTACACTGTCTCACACTATTACGACGACGAGAGTGGTCACGATACTGTCAAGCACGGTGTAACGCGTTGTAAAAGAGCTTAACGTAGAATGTGCGTTGGACCGTCGTGGAAGCATTGAGGTGACAAAGTAGAAACCCAATACAGCAGTGACAACCTTTCCTGGCATATAAAGTCCCACTGGCAGTTTCAGCTGGCAAGGACCATAAACCAGCGACTATCAACGGTGTAATCAAGCTTGAGGTTCGGGTGCGAAGGATACAGCCAAAGAGACATAGATCAGTTTTCTGCTTGGTATCCCAACACAGGAAGTTGAGTGATAGAACACAGAGAGTCGAAGTTCGATACGCTGGGCACATCCGATTCCTGTGCCAAAGAGGAGCTCGTCATTTCACATAGCCGGTATGTCGCATCTTATCGCAATTCGAATAACTGAGTGCATAACGTACTCCGCCATGTTTTTCCGGGTGCACACCCGTGTTACGCTGATTGGAAAAATCTTTGTTTATAACAGGTTCTGACCTCAGTGATGTTTCGACTCATCACTTGTGTTGCTTAATTGGCAACCGTATTCGGATTTTTTTAGCAGTGTTTGTCACAGCCGAAGCGCTGTGCTTCTCAATAGATGAACAGCGGCCGCCTATTCCGCGATAAGCATTATCCGCTTGAGCTAAACGGTAAACATTACTTCGAATATCACCTAATTAAATCTAAGATCTTTCGTTCATAAACGAAAGAGCAATAGTGTTTTTTCATAGACTATGATACATTAGCTTCAATTGAGCGTAAAGTTTGTACTTTGGCCTAAATATGTAACAGATAAGCTGTGTTGTCTGAGGTTTTTTTTTTGATAACTAAAGCGTAACAAGGCACACCTGAAAGCGCAAAAAAACACATACATAGGCACTAGGCTGTTAACAGCGCTGACAGGCTGTGCCTGCGTAGGCAAATTTATCATTCAATTGTTGGTTAAGTTAATTGCCGCTTTTCTGTTGAAAATCTTTGAGTACCATCAGCTAAAACGTGTCATGAAACTAGTTAATAGGTCTAATAGCAACAGTCACTATTAAACGTTAACTTTATCGATCTACGGATATTCATTAACGATCCAATACCGTACAATATACATAGAATCAGTTTATTTTGCTCCAACTTAAGTAAACGCTATATCGATCGTGAATAACTATTAAGAACTAATCACTGTTAGTTAGAAGAAACTTTTAGGGAACGAAATCTAATGATCGATAACGCGTAACGAAGTATACGCCTCATACTCTAGCGATGACCGGAACTCTAGCAGACAAAATAGATCCCGGCACCACTGTATATAAGACGAGTTATTTTTGTTTTACGTTCATCATCCCTATTGAGTAAATATTGAACCCGTCTATTGTATAAACGCTTATTATTGATATTTGGAGCGAACTATTAGTTGCAGATATATAGATATATAGATGAAATTTCTGCTTTTTTACTATCTATTGCCTCTTAACTGCCATCCTCAACTGAAGCACTATTAACGAGTCGTATTAAAACAAGCAATCCTTTGTAGTTTACGGGCTGTCAACTAAATAGCAACTGTCGGCCCTCGGACCAGCCTGCCGCCCACCTGTATGGTGTAACGGTGATACATCTAGTGCAGAAACAGAAAAAAATGTCATATATATATACAATGAATAATGAATAACATTAAAAGATAAAATTTTAGCTTAAATGGCTTCCCAGATCGCAAACGTGAATTAATTACCCACGATATATTTTCTAGCTAACGACGAAGTCATAAACGAAATCGTACATGTATATATATATATATATATATATATTGTATCAAGGCATTAAATAGGCTGAGGTATGTCTATTAACTTTACCTTGTAGTGCTATCATTTGATCACACCTGATTAAATGACAAAAAAAAAAACAGATCCGTCTGCTAACAAGGTTATCATGTTAAGGTTTGCCTCTGTACGCTCTTTTTTTGCATAATTTTCATTGCAAATGGTCGACGGGGTATTATGCATCGGTTTGGTCCTCTGTATGACGGCCAAGTCAATAGCAATGTTAATTTGAAGTTTTCGAAGGTTAAACATCGTAGGACGCGATAGTTCTAAGATGCGTCGGTGGCACCTATTGCAGATTATAGGTATACTTAAAGCGACGACCGTCTTTGCACTAATCCTGACACAGTGGAATATTATCACGGCAGTAATTATTATTGTCGTTCTTTAGAATCTGTTCTCTCGCGCTCCGTCGTTGAGAGGGCACCCGATGCCTTTGGTAGATGTCAAAACAAATTTGCAGCTCGTCTGCGAACGATATTGTACGCCGTATTTCTGATGGGTGAGTGACAGGGGGCAAAGACACGTTACCTGTGTGAAAGAAGAATAAGTTAATAACAATAAAATAGGGAAGGCGGAGCGCGTGCGGCTATAGACATGCCGTGTTAGACGTGGCACTAAGAGCGTACGCAGATTTTACGACCACGATATATTATGCAGACGTACGCAAAAATATTCACATATAATCGACGCTAGAAACCGAATGAAGGTATGGAATGGACAAAAGTAATGATTTTACTTATTATCCCAGTTCGTGCGGGTTCAGACAACTCTACAACGGCGACGTAGGTAGTTCTGCAAACGTCTCCATGTTAGAGCATCTTGTTCTTTTCTGTTATTTGTTAGTTGGTATGGGGCGAAGTACAGGGTTTATCCATGAATGAAACTTACCGAATTGAATGAAGAGGCTGCCGCTGCCGCTGCTGTGCGCAAGCAGACGAAGATAGACATGTATCGACGGCGGCGCACTTTCTTGACAGAGGCGAACCCCACACGCCTTGCACCCCCTCCGTTCTTTTTATTACGAAGCCCTGCTAGACGTTATACATTGCGTCCTTAATGAACAGGTAAACTGAGGCAGGCTAGTTTGATTGTTTGCAGCAGTAGCAGCGGTCATAGCGACGCTGATGACGCGCGTGAAATGGGCAGGACCAGGCCATTATTACAACTGTATGTTGCTAGGAAGACTAGGCACATTCTAGCTAATAACGCCTCTTGTAACGAGAAATAAGAATATGTGCTTTATTTTGTATCTTTTTTTTGTTTACGTGTAACTCATCTTAAAATTGAAGAAGAATCTAGATGTTCCATTTTCTCTCCTACCGCAAGTATTGAAAATTACCACTACTTTCATTAATACATGGACTTTTGAGATGTTTTTTTCATGTAACCTTGCAGTACTTTTCAGCTACTCTCTCTTGGCTGGTGACGCTTCCTGGTCTTCCGGAAAGTGGTATATAAGCTTCCTCAATACTTCCGTCCGCTTCAAATATCTTTTATTCTCTTAGTTATAAATCGCGGAGGCGGATTTGTATGAAACTCGCTGCGATATCGTCTTTGTACTTCTATAACACTTCCATACCTCCAACAGCTTTTTTTATTCAATTTTTCTGTTTAAAAATTAATCCACTCATTATTTCCAACTAAAGAAGAAGGACGGTCCGGAGGCTATGACCACTGAAACATTTTTCGGGATATTTTGTATATATGTAGAGAGAACTACAATGATGAGCTTGCTTCATTTATGCAAATTATATATTATTATAGATTCTCGTAGTCAGAAATTGAATGTAGTAATCATTTAAGCACTCCAAGGGATTCAAAAAGTGTACGAACTAATGCGTACCTCTTCGAGGGCGTTGCCATAATGGCCATGAACGTACGGCCATCGCTAATTTGAATTTTACCATTGGCAAATGATTACACAGGTCTACTGAGGAAACCCCAGATAAACCTACCAAGAACCACCTGCATGGCTATACCCCTAAGCAGGTTACTCCAAAACCTTGCTCACACAAGAAAAGTAGCAAGAAGCGTTAAAACGGTATTTATATGGGTGTGAAGGTTCGCTAGATGTCAATATTTGGAGAGCCATAATATCGAATCAAGCCCTAGCATATGTCACGGGTCTGGTCAGAGAGGACATACTCGACTCCTGATTGGCCTTAGACAGTATTTCGGTTGATCACAACCTTGTATTTCATTCATTCGTCTCGTCGTTCATTCATCCTATTCGTCTTCAGTAAAAACCACAAATGTGAAAATATTTCAAGAAGGATTCCATACCGAGGCATATAGGACAACTCGCAGTTTAGAAAATCGCTTGGTCCTAATAGTAATAATATAGATGTATGGTTTCAACTAATGACGAAAGGTACCGGCGTTCGGTTCGCAATTTGTGTGCATGCTCGTGAATTCATCCCATAGTTGATTCCAATCATATTCATAGTTAGGCAAACTTTTTTTTACACGAGGCAGCTTTGTCGAAGTTACTTATAGATACGACGCAATAAGTTTACTCAACTGAACCTGACCAGAGAAGGATCGATAACACAAAATATTCATTTCATCATCCAGTTCAGATCGAGCGTCTTGGTAAATCAGTTTACTACTACTGAGAAAGAGTGCCAATTGTTATTTGTGTCGTCAAGTCAGAGATAAGAACATTCTTAAGAGCGACGATAATAAATTCGGAAAGAGTTATAGTAGTTCACTGGGAAATCACTGAACGTCTCGTTCGGTAATAAGTTGAGAACGATTCAATCAGGGTTAACCAGACGGGAGAAAGTCGAAGTTGCAATAGCTAAAATAAGCAGAAAACTTCTGGCGTTAAAGCTACACTACTATACACTTTGTTTGTAAATTATTCTATAAACTAAAGCAAAACGCGTCCTGCAAATGATTTCTAGTCTATGGGAAGAAAGCCAAATGAATTGTTATCAGTATACACGGTCTATCTAGAGAATATCATCTGTGTGGGATTCGGGCGTCACCCAAGTTATCTGTGAGGAGAACAACCAGCCACTCAGCATCTTTCTTTTCATATTTCCTGAAGCATGAGAACTTACGTTTTTTTAGTTCGGTAAGACGATTTTCCTGTAAGTCAGGGGAATATTGTTTGCAGTTTAATGTAATATAAATAGTAAGATAATAAGCGCTTGCCATGATCACCGATCTACAGAAACCGACCGTTATTTGAGCGGAATTGAATCCCAACATGGCGCTTGTTGGAAAGTGAGCCAAAAGGCAACTACATCAATATTCTTAATGATTTGACATCGCATCATTGTTTAATTTATATTATACCCCATTGCCAGTATCTTGGGAACGTTTGTGTTCAACCGAACCGTAAAAACTATTAAAAGCAACTTCATTGATGCGTATATTAAGGAAATACGAACTTACAACCTGCTTTTGCCCCCTGAAAGCAATCAAGATTTCTTTTCAACCGATCTTTGCGCCGCGCTCAGAAGTTGTAGATTTCAATAATTCACATCTTTGATACATGCTAAGGGTGATTCTTTACAAACATTGTCAATGCTGATGTATATGTACATTCTTCGTAGC